GTGTGTGTGTGTGTGTGTGTGTGTGTGTGTGTGTGTGTGTGTGTGTGTGTGTGTGTGTGTGTGTGTGTGTGTGTGTGTGTATCCTGAGTGACTAACTACAGCTTACATCAGAGGGAAGTAGAGCGACAGAGAGTAAATTGACCCCCTTTTTAGCAGGTGTGTTAGCTTTACAGCAGCAAATATAATATGTCAACAGTGTGTGCACTTAGCTTCACACCGTAAATAATTCAACACTAAAGGAATACTTCACCCACAAAATCACCATCTCAGTTACTTTACTCACCCCGTACAACTTTGGAATCTCAAAGGAAACACTTTGTTCTTGCATTCCTCCAAACATCCTAAAACACAGAAAAGTCTGGATGAGTGGAAGTGCATGTGGCCGCGTTTAACAACAGCAAACTATATCTAAAACATTGACATTCAAAAAGTCAATGAAAGAAAGGACACTTATTATTAAAGGGGAAATATGTTAGGTTCATGTATGTATGTTGGGTTCCTACCAGAATATGGTTTATTATACTTTAAGCTCTCCTTCAGAAAAAAGCTCTGATTGTCCGAGTGTTTCTGAGTCTTTTCTGCACTTTCTACTTCTAACATAACAACTTATAGAAAACAAAGAACAAAGGAAGTTTCTGAAATCAGGCTGTGAGCATTTCTATATGGATTGAACATTTAAATACTTTGACTGTATTTTTAAAGCACCTCGACCTGCTTTATGTTGAATTAAAAGCCTTGAAATCCAACACAATCTGTTAAAACATTATATTAAAACCAGTCAAAGTAATTAAAGAGAGGCATCATTTGTTCTTATTGTTGTTGTTTGTCATTAAGAGTTATTTGTTCCTGTTCTTGCAGTGCATAGCGACTCCAGGACAGGGCTTTCGTCTGGGTCAGTACTGCTGCCGCTGCAGGGACGGATACTACGACCCCGAGACCATCCCTCAGGACTCAGGTGAGACCCTACCTGAGAGAGGATTTCTGAACCTCTTAAACTCCACATACACCACTTCCTTTATATAAATATATATATATGGGTTTTATAGACGATCGAGTCTTTTCCTTTCATTTCATTAAGAGTTATTGATTTTTAATTAACGATGATTAATCCCTGTTGTCATATATTTCTAACTTATATTTTTAATGTGATGCTTGATCCTTGCAATTGATAAATAAAAAATGTTAGACGTAGTTTAAATTCTTAATTGATTTAATAAATACACTTAAAATGAATATTGAAACGTGTAAATGTATCAATAGTTATATAAAATAAATGAATAATTCTTTTTTTAATATATTTAATTTCTTATTTATTAATCATTTGTCCTTTATTCAGGCATTTAATCATATCATTAATTATGTATTTTTACATTCATGATTCTACAATCATCGAGCATGACACTGTGCATAAACACATTATACTATATAGATTTAAAAAAAGTCAAAATACACAAATACAATGGAGAATACATTTATAATTGAAAAAATATATTCAAATTCAAATGATTATCTATGTCTTTTTTAATTATTCAACATTAATAAGGGAATTTAATCATATTTTTTGTATCGTCTCTCCATCTATACATTTAGGATGCTACATTTTCATCAAGCATGACCAGACTTAGAAGCATCTTTTAAGTGATTTTTTACTTTTAAAACCAATATATTTCACTCTCTGGTTTCAGTTAAAGGGGACCTATCATGCAAAATGCACTTTTGTACGTCTTTTATACATGAATATGTGTCCCCGGTGTTCCAGGGAACTCACCAAGTGTCAGAAAATACAACCCTCTCTCTTTTCCTCCATACCCAAATCTCTAAAAACAACGGATTTGATACATGTGGATTCTGATTTGCACCTCTATGATGTCACAGAGGTGCACTCCGCCTGTATGGTCAACTCTCCACCTATCAGGGGAATGAGAGGTTGCCGTGGCATGGCAACAGCATAGCAACAGCATGGCAACAGCATAGTAACATGACGCTTGTGCCTCGCCCCCTCCTTTGCAGGNTTTACAAAGCTTTACATGAACACATTTCAATCCATGGCTCCTTATTTTCATCTAAAGTAACAGACAGAGAATCAGCACTTTGGAAACAGGGCTGAAACAGAGGGGATTATGGGTAATGCTGCAATGATCTGTTTGGTGTTTGGAGCCAAACACTTCAGAGACATGTTTGTATATATCTGAGACCTATGATATATTGATGGAAAACATGTGATAGGGGACCTTTAAGAAAGAATGAGAAATGTGTTTCATTTTGAAAGCTAAGTGACCCTAGTGTACCGTAAGTGTAATGTTGTGTGTGTGTGTGTGTGTGTGTGTGTGTGTGTGTGTGTGTGTGTGTATAATTAGCATGCAATGATACAACAGTGTGCAATAAAGACAGATACCTTGATTTCATCCAACGACTGATAGTACTCCTTCTTTACTTTTTCCTTTATTGTACTGAAGTCCATCGGCCGTTTGATAATTACAGAGTAGCCAGGAGCGACGAGGTCCGTCACCGGAAACGAGAAGAATGCACTGGGATCTTTCCTACAGAGAGAAAACACAAACATACATTATTTATTTCCTGGAAGTGGGGGCTAATGACTAGTAAAATAATCACAAGCACACAATAATCTCATATTGACAAATGATCAATGCTGTACCTTTGGAGCTGCCTGATGAGCTGGTTCAAAGCTTCCTGAAGAGGAGTTTGTTCCTTTTCTACAAGGAAGAATAGTAATAATGATTAATGGAAAGTTTATCAGGGGGAAAAAAATAGTTGACCTAAACTGCGAACAAGAGGAAATGAGAGATACCTTCTTCCAGTTTATCCAGCTCTGAACGTATAGGAGTTCTGCTCCGTTCATCGTCTCCATCTGTTTCCTGTCCTTTCTTCTTCTTTGTCATCTAATATTGTCAAAACATACATTGAATCAAACATGCGTACAATCCATAACAACTCCTTTAAGAGGCTTAACACCATATACTGTCCCATCTAGATGAGGGGCTTATGATCTTTGGAGGCCTTACCTTTTTCTTTACTTTGGTGTCCTCTGGTGAGCCAAAGCTCTTTTCTTTATCCTTCTTCTTTTTCTTCTTCTTGTCTTTAGGTTTTTCAAAGTCCGACGCCGGGTCGTCATAAAAAGTGTCCCGACTCGAGCTACCCGTCGTCACTTCGTTCCCAGAGACTTTCAACACCAGCTTCAGCGGTCTCTCTCCATACTCTGCAGATAAAGTCAACAACACAAGATCTCAGACTGACAGAATCAGTAAAAATGTTTTAATCATTCATCAGCTGAACTTTAAAGACAAATGTGTTTATGCAAGGAAATCAAATCGTTTCCAACGTGTCTTTCATTTGTCCATTTATCCTCTGCAGGCTGGCAGGTCAAAGACCAACAGAACGTGTTATCCCACATGATATAAGACTGTTGAGCCCTGTGCCTTCACAAACCATTCTACTGTTTGCATTTCACATATTTACTTATCACTACAATAAGCAGTATTTTATTCTTGTACGTATGTATTACATTTAACATTCTGTTTTCATCTCATTTTATTCTATTTTAAATCGATATAGTTTACTTTGCACTTGTATTAACCTGCACAATGGTCACTTGCAACATTCTCTTGCATTATTTTATTTTTTTATGTATTTTATATATGTATGTTGCATTGTTGAAGGAGCCTGGGATTTAGGATTTTCGTTACCATAACTACACTATAGCTACTGTGCATATGATGATAAAACCTATAAATCGTGTCTTAATTATCCCAATGCAGTCTAGAAATGTAAAGCCCACGGAACTCTGTTTTGAAATTGACTTAATAAATACTGATAATATTATCATCCTTGCTTAATTAACATCAGAAAAGCATCATAGAGCTAACTGTAGTTATCTGTTGACAGCTAAGAGATGCTAGGAACAATAGCCGCTAACAGCTAGCTTCCTTAGCAGACATTATAGTGACGCTGGAGCTACAGCTCACTTTATTTTGTAATCTTAAATCACCTGCTTTGTATTTATACTCAAAGTGTTGCACATTGAATAAGACACGTGGTAAGTAAACATGTAAATAAGCCTGGTAGCATGCTAGTTAATCAGCTAGCTTAGTGCTAGTGAGCGAGCTAACAAGCGCGGAATTAGTACATCCAGTTGATGTATTTAGAAACAAATCAAGAGATGGTAAAAGCATTAAAATGTTAAAAAGATGTGTGAATTACTTACCTTCATATCCGTGTTTCTCGGACTTGTGCTTTTTGTGCTTCTTGCCCATTGTTTGTATTATGATCACCGGCTGCTTCGCTCTGTGGTGGCGGAAGCTGTGCAGATCGATGCAGGTCGGCAGCGCCCCCTGCCGGTGAGGAGGGGGGAAACCACCCACCGTCGGTAGGGGGCGCTGTAAGCTCAGTATTAAACTTCAAGGACAAAGCCCTGCAACACTTTTCCCTCCAGATTTAACAGTCACTCAGTCTGCATTATGAATCATCAACATATGGAAATATGCAAAGATATGCAAAGATTGGACACTGAATTGAACATATTTGTAACAACGTCCTGCTGGTATTTCATGCAGTTTTCAATCATAGATGGTTGTTGAAGAAGTATTCAGACAATGCAAACATAATCTGCTACAAGTACAAATCCTACATTATTAGCTCCAGAATATACTTAAAGTACTCATTCTGCATATTAGCTAATTTCAGAGTAATGTATGTTTTATGTTTTGATTATAATTATTGATGTATTAGACTTGAGTGTCTTAAACGCTGGTTTCAAGTCTTCTTTAGTACGACATGTTGTTCATTTTGTGAATTATGGTCCCATTTAGAGTTTAGTAGACTTGAGTTTAGTTTTCAGTTCATGAAAGTCAAGTAAATCAGTATGCAGTTGCACATTGTGCCACCCTTTCTTATCACTCATGAAAAAGATGGCAAAAGCCACTTGCCAAACTCGACGCTACACAGCGCTAGGCGGTACAATGAAGGCCTGGTGGCTCCATCCACCTCCTTTGGTCAATGGTTGGACTGGAATCAAATATGGGATTAAGGCTTGTGTAAATAAACCAGAATACAAGAGGAGACAGATGAAACTTGCTTATGGTTGGGCTCCATAGGACACCATAGCCCCAAGCCTAATTACCATCGTGGGCATGGATGTGGACATTGTGGACAGCTACAAGTTCCTGGGTGTCCACATAGACAATAAACTGGACTGGAGTAAAAACACTGACGCCCTATATAAGAAAGACCAGAGTCGCCTGTATTTCCTCAGGAGACTCAGGTCCTTTAACGTCTGCAGCACTATGTTGCAGATGTTTTATGACTCGGTGGTCTCCAGTGTGATCTTCTTTGCTGTAGTGTGTTGGGGCAGCGGGGTGAAGACAGCTGATGCCAACAGACTCAACAAGCTCATCAGGAGAGTAGGCTCTGTCCTGGGAGTGGATCAGGAGTCGTTGGCAGTGGTGTCGGAGGGGAGAATGCTGAGGAAACTTCTCAGCATTCTGGACTATGGGTCTCACCCCCTGCATGCCACACTGGTTTCCTACCGGAGCACTTTCAGCCATAGACTGATATCACCCATAACCACCACACAGCGCCACAGGAGGTCTTTCCTCCCAGTGGCAATCAAACTCTTTAACTCTTCACCCCTAAGTAAAGGGCACTGAGAACTTCCACACCAACACTATGTGCAATATACTGTAAGTTCCATCACTGCAATACACTCGCTGCAATATATAACTATGTGCAATATTATATTATTATTATTAGTATTATTAATAATGCTATGATAACGTGCAATTACGTAACTGCCACTACGTTTTATTTTTACTAACTACTAAATACTGCTAATAATCATTGCATTGATTGTGTGACCATCTATGTTTCTACGTTTCTATGTTTCATGTTGTCTGTGGATGTTTAATTGCTCTTTTTGCTGCACTTTTAGTGTACAGTTTTGCTGCTGTGTTTATTGTACTTTGTTACTCTGGCACAACAATTTCCTTCGGGATGAATAAAGTCTTATCTTAACTTATCTTATCATACAGAGCTGTTATGCTCTGTTAAATCGGCACATATTGTACCGTCTGATGAATGACAGATGTTTTATCCATGGAGATAGTGTGCATTCTTCGAAGCACATTCCAGGTTTTATGAAGAAGGTACAGGATGGGTGATGAAAGTATTAAAAGAATGAAGATTGACTGAAACCACAATTTCACTGCCTTCAGATGAAGAGGTGATTCTGACACCCTGTTGATGTTTGAGACTCCTATCCAAGCAAACCCATCCCCAACAAATGACCTCCTGTTATTGTATGTGTCAAGAAACACTAGCTCCATCGTACAATCTCTGCATACCTGTTTGATGACTAGCTTATTGAGAAAGCTTTAATTACGAGGAATGAAGAGTCTTGACCATACACATCTTTATGCAAACAAATACAACAAACAAAGAAAGGCAAAATTAGAAATATATTGACTGATTTATTATGTTTAATGGATTCTTTCACACATCCAACAAATATGGAACATCTTTGGAAACATGTTTCACTCTTTATTCTCCTTTTTGCTCAACTTTTGGTCTCTACCAACTCCAGAAAAACTACAGCTGTTTGGTAACTTTGTCTGTCTGACGTTTGATGCTGGCTTATCAGAAAAGGATTCTGATCTTGCAATACTTTTGGAGAAGGATACTTTTCTACATCTGAGACTCCCCTCAGACAAAGCTTGGAAAACCAACTATTTAATAGCTACATTTTGTAGTAATTCCTCCATCATAATTACATCATATACATGAAAAAGGTCTGTCATACAAGGCACTTATGAGTTTGTGTCTCTTAACTCCCTTTTTTAACTGAATCACACATCTTCATCTCCATGTGAACTTCTACAATTAAAGTACCAACTAATGTAATATTTATTTTTACTTCCATCCCCTGAAGCTGTGTTGAACCAACCTGGGGCGACCCGCTGTCCACTTTGAAAAACGTTGTAGTCTTTTGTAGAACAATTAGTAACATAATTGGAGTAGGTGAAGTGGTGTATTTATTATTACCACTTGATGGCGCCAAAGTAAAACCTTTTTAAATCCTACACATTACTTTAAACTGAGTGACTTCAGTGTCCAAGGAGGAACAAATCCCCTCAAGTCAAGCATACCTTTACACACTAATCATCTTGAAAACCTTGTCTAGAAAGAGTGAACAAGCCTCATTACAGGCAAGTTATGGTAGTGACCATTGCAGCGGTCAAAAGCTCAGTTAAATGTCCTGATGGGCTGCCTGGTACCGATAAAGGAGGGATGTGTTGTCGGGATATACATGAGCCCTGTTCAGGCCCACTGCAGCCCCAGAGAGGCTGTGGCATCCATCTGCTTAAACCCAGCTGTGGAACAGCACACGCGTTGGAAGTCCACGGATTAAAAGGAGATCAGTTACACCAAACAGGGCTAAATGGCAGATGTTGTGAATTTCATTATCCTCTGTCACAACAGAGAGGCTAAAGGGACCCAGAGACTGATTCCACATGAAAGCTGCATCCCAGCAGAACCATGGGAAACCGCTTCCCACTTTGCGGAGGGCATGGAGCTCGGATGTTTGGTCTCACCACACACACACAACAAAAATACAAACAGGCATACAAGGTCAGGCTTTGAAAAGTTTATCTGTCTTGCACATGGTTCGACTGAACCGAAATTGGAGATTACATGTGACCCTGAGCCACAGGACATCTTCTAAAGGGGAAAAAACCGAACTTTTTCCAAGTTTGTTCTCATACATTTTGGTATCTGGAGATCCTTCCAACCCACCAAACCATTTCGGGTTTTGTGGGTCAGAAAACATGAATTTCAACAAACCATTCAGATTTGGCTCCACTTCCTATGTCACATGGCACTGGCTGAATCATACGGCCCCTCATCTGAGTCAGTGGTTCCCAACCTGGGGTACAGGTAACCCTAAGACGAGTCAGCTCAAGTCTTTCATTAAAAGCTCTAGTTTTAACAAAAGAGGTTGAAACCCCTAAAAGTGAGTCTTAAAATTATTTATTTTCGCTGACAATAAGTGTAAATGTCAAGTTTAAATGCATTAGTATTAAGGGTGAGTTATACAAGTGGTTTTCAAGGAGCAGTTGGGTTAAATACGGTTACAAGGGGTTTAACACAGGAAAAGTGGATGAATCCAATGTGAATCATCACAGATAAGTGAGGGGGTTATTATAGAACGCTGACCAGCTAAAGGGACAGCACACGAGACAACAAAGGTTGGGAACCACTGGTCTAAGATCTCCACCCATGACTTGAGAACTATCGTTGAAGGTGCACCGTATACTATATATTTTCAAAGGAGTCTGGGCTTTTAAGGGATTGAGGCTTAAAAAGACAGGCGGTGTCAGACAGAGGTCGGCTTTGAAGCTCACTTTTACAAACCAGTGACTGTCTAACATCCTCACCGCCTCATCTTCTTCTTATTTTGCAATCGAAGTTTATTACAAATAACGTTCAATCAGTTCTTAAACTCAAACATGTCTTCTGTTCCACAAATGGGGCGAAGCCTGCGAGCTAGTTCAGGCAGTCAACTCGAGCACCAATTATACATTAACACGTGACGCACCTCGTCCCTCTTACAACCAACCAAACACATTCTCCTAAACATGCCGCTCTATTTAAGCTGCCAGGTCTTCCTGCCTCTGCCTCGCTATGCTGCTGCTGCTACTGCTGTGTTCACTTGCTATTGCTGCGTTCATGTTCCTGCTGCTGTGTTTCATGTTGCTGCTGCTCGCCGGCCCCCCCACCACCACTCCAGCTTCCACCTGTAGGCTCGGGGGATAGTTATCTAATCGTCACTCAATGGTCTTTGTAAATCTGTGGAGTGATGAGGCCCGAGCCTAGATGCCAAACTGAAACTATGCTGCTTCTAATAAACATATTAAGAAACACGTGAGTTGTCTGACTGAACAATATTTGTAATTGTTTTATTGACATTTGCACTGTTTCTCACACAGATTTTAAAGCTCTATCACTGTATGTCACTTTGGGTAATTCAAACGTAGCCTAAAGCTTGGGACAAATGCAAATTGATAACTTCGCTCCTTATGGATAGATATAAGAATATAGCGTGAAGTTTGGTCATAGAAGTATATTCTTTTCACTAGTAGTTGTCAGAGCGCTGTTCAGATATGACAGATGAAATGTTTGGGGTCATTACAACTGTCAACGCAGAACGGTTTTGAAGACGTAACCAGCCGTCACAAGTAAGTCAGACAGAAACATCAAAGAGGAGAAGCCAATCATTCTGCCTCAGTGTTTTTCTCCCGCCTGCCACA